AGCGTGCAGAATATGCTTAGCCACCTAATAGCAGTGAAGAGTCGAGCGCGCATAACGCTGAGTCCCCAAATAGCAGTGAAGAGTCGAGCCTACAGAATGCTTAGCCATGAGCGTGTTCAGCTGAACTTGCACCTCGGCATGATCATTCTAAATTGTACGTTATCAGCGGATAGTGTCAGCATTAATCTTTATAATTCATGAGCTGTCTCATGGCTCGACTCCACATTACAATATACACTCTAGCATGTGACATTCTGGGTTGCATGCTAGTTACAATTATTGCAATCCATAGGCTGTCCCGATATTCCTTTACACATTACTATATACATTCTATCTTACAAAACTGCATGAGGGATGTTCGGGATTAATGAGTGCCAAAACTGCAAGCGTGTCAAAATGGGAGTTCGTATATATAGCGTAGCGGACTGCGGATCGGACGAAAATCTTTCGTTTTGATCGCCTGTAATTTAAACGCACTGCTGTCTGATAAGCACGTCCCCTTATTTTTAATAGCGTCCCCTTATTCAAGCGGAGTCGTTATTGGATTTGAGATTACCAAGGAAAAAATTGTAATCCCTGCACCTCGAGGTGTCATCAGAACAAGTAAATTGCACACATTGGGACCATCAGAGTTGGTGGAAAATACAAAGAATTTATAATAACATCATGTTTAATGATAAACTGGCTTCGTTTATTTTCTTATCTGTGTTCCGTTATGTGATTACACAAAGTTGCGAGAAAAATTGTTAATCATTGACCCTTTTAAAAAAAACTGCCAGAATGGTGGCCCGCTAGTAAAAACTTTGCATTTGTGCTGGTACTGCTGATGAAGTGAACAAGGAGTAAGTTCGCCAGTGGATGAGAATTTTGATGGAGTCGTTGGTGGTTAACTGTCAAGGATTACAAAAAATGGCAAGGCAAGTTTAATGTAAAATGGTGAGGCAGTTGAGTTAACCAAGAAAATACTGAAAATGTGACAGTGAGTTAGATTCGAATGACGCTAACTTAATGCTCGTCCATAGAAACGTATAGGCCAGAGTTACAGTTTTTAGGGTCGTATTGCCTCATGATAACTAAACAGCTTTTGTTGTTGTGGCAACAAGATATTTAGAAACAGGAGTAAAATAGAAATTATAACTTTTGTACAAAATGTTGGTTTTAAAGTCTTTATTTGATTAGAATACATAGGCTTTTTTAGAATCGAGATTATAAGGATTAGAAGGAATGACAGGATTAGAATTCCAGAACTAAATAAATTTCCAAGCCCAGGTAATGCCTTGATAACCTTCTAGTTTCCAATAAATGTCTTTTGACTTCAATTTTTGCTGAATTTAAACCCATTGACTTCAGTTTTTTGTAGCTTTAACCTGATTCAGAAAAAAACATCATGTATCAAATTTTGCACTTCACATATTGCAAACCAGCGTAGAGACGGCAAAAAATTGAGTTTTGTCAGAAAATTGCTTTGTAGAGCGATGTCATTAAGATTCACTGGAATTTTATCGCTGAAGTGCTGCATGGCACCGTTGGAATCAGTTCAGTAATCGTCGCCCTATCCCATGGCATATCATTATTCATAAAAATGTAATTAAGTTAAATAAGGTTTATAATTCTTTTATCTTATTTTAATTTAATTCGGCCGACATAAATATGGTGTCAAATATTCAAAACAGATAATCGTTTCGAAGCAAAAGAACTCGAGATTTCAATAAAAATCATAGTAGGCAAATATAAAATTGGTCATGCGTATTGCAAGGCTCATAATTTATTCAGGCAAAAAGAAACAACAATAATTCCAATTTATACCGAGGTGCGACTCTTGAATGAGAAACTGTCACTTGATATCCCAGCAGGCAATGTCAGGTGGAATCAACGTTGAAACAACAATACTCACGACGTTGAAATAACGTAGAATTTTAGTTTAGAATGAAAAATGAAGCAACGTCATTTTTTCAATGTCTTTCATTTCGACGTTGTTTCAACGTTAAAATCGCGTTGACATCTGATGGTAAAATCGCGAATATATATATATATATACTGTATATATGCGATTTTAAGTCACAATTTTACGCGATTTCAACCTTGAAACAACGTCGAAATGTACGACGTTGAAAAAATGGTGTTGCTTCAGTTTTCAGTCTAAACAAATATTCAACGCTTCTTCAACGTCATGAGTTTTATTGTTTCGACGTTGATTCAACCCAACATTGCCTGAAGACCTACAACAATACAACAAGTGTAACGGAGCCAAAGCAAAACCTTATAGTTCCCTAACAAAATTTGGTGTATGCTTCAGCCTCCGTTGCAGACTCGCCATAGTTGGGTTAGAGTTATTCTGGGTCTGCTTGGTCACCCGATCGTATTCAGCGACTAGTTAGAATCACCTTGCCGACTTTAGAGTCTCCTGAGAGAACGGCAAGAGTTTGCTTGGCCAGGCTTACCGCTCCTGTAAGCTGCCCAGAGATTGCATTCAAGCCTCGAGCGGCAGGCAGTGGGCAGAAGCCTCCCGGATGTTATACATACATATTCATTGATTTAAACTTTTCAGGTCGAAAAATTATCCAGATGGCGCTGGNGAAATAGACTGGTATCTGTTGAGCTGAATAAAGGGTATTCAACCAAGTATTAAATTAAAATAATGCGGATTTATTGTTTTGTAAGAATACTTTTTTCACCCGAAAAGTGAACATGTTGCATTGTTTTTTGTTGCATTGAGATTTAATTTCTTTTGATAGTATTTTTGAATACTATGCGTCTCTATACATAATTTAAATCACTTTTCCTGTTAAGTTTGTGTACTTACATACATTAAAATACGATTTTTCAGGTGTACGAATATTTATTTCCCCCCACTGTACATATGCATCTCTGTTTGTGAATTTGAATGCAGATGAAGAATTTATAGGACCGACCATACAACAGTTATTTAAATGCTGGTTTCATTCTCCGTAGACTTTCGGGAGTTCTAACGTTGAAACACCTGAACGTTTTTGAAACACACGAGTGTTTCGCTTTGGGCACGATTGCTCGGGGAGAATTTGAAACACCCAAGTGTTTCGAAACAGGGGGCCTTTTTCTCTCAGTGTTCAGACATTCCACGAGATGAGGCGGACCGTGAAGGCATTGAAACGTCAATACGGCGACCTTGAACTGTGTGCGCTGCTGAATGCGCAGCCGATGAAAATCACGCAAGATCAGCGTCACGAGGTCAAATTTTTGCTTATTGCACATGAGTTGCAAAGCAGCGTTCATTACGGATTACAGTTTATAGTCTCGTGGTCAGAAGTCCATAGAGTACGTGTGACATTACCATATTCCAGTCGGGTCGAGTGTGGCATCCATCACGAGGGCCTCGACAAACAGCGGCTGACGCTACGCATTCGTCGCAGAGGGCCAAAACAAGCGGTGCGGTGACTTAGGCTATGTGATTGTTCATGAAAAATTCAGAGTCCAACAAAATACCAAGGTAGCGAACCGATGACACCGAGCAGTCGCAAACCAAATAAAGTCGGTTTTTGATGCATTGAGCTGGAGCCGGTTGGAGCGCATACAGTCTGAGATGGTGTCCATGCAGACAGACATCCGTCCCTGCAACGCTGCAGCGCCAGCCGATGCACAGTAGCCATAAATTTAGGTGTCGTCAGTGCACACTTGCGGATTCAAACTATGTGAATCATTTATGTGCAATACGTCGACAGTCTATAATAGGATAAGGATCGGGCCGAGTACTGATCCCTCGGAAAGCCGAAATTGTCCAACGATGGCGTAGAAGAAGAGTACCTGCAATGACCGCATTGGAATCTATTGCGGAGATGGGACTGGAACTACCGCAGCACGGAGCTGCGAAGGCCGAATGAAACGTAAAGTCGACGCTGTAAAGGGGCGTGGTCGTCCGTGTCAAACGCGAGCGACAAGTCGAGTAAAGCCAATGCCGCAATGTCGACACGGTCTACTGCCGGCAGAATGGCTAAAAGCACCTTCAGCACAGCGCTTTCCGTCGAGTGGAGATGGCGATATGCAGTCTAGAGGCATTGGACTGGCCTGTAGAAGATGGTTGTTCAGCTCAAGGGCCACAATTCGTTCCAGTATTTTCGACTAAATCGACAGGTTGGAGATGGGCAGATATGATTTGGGATCAGGAGTGTCAGGGCCAGGGGCTAAAAATCTCCGAGATTAACGTATTTTCCACTATTCATATTTCGGAGCCGGAATAATTTTTTTGCCCACGAGTGTGGGCTAAATGATCCCTAGAGTTATCGATCGCCTCATACATACAGGGGATTGATTTAAAGCAATGTAATAAACATTGGGAAGCTATTCAAGAATGTTAGGAAATATTTATTCCGCCTGAAATGTAACGATCGATGACTCTCTATTTCCATCAAATAGCAGTAATATTCATGTCTCAATGCAAACTTGTTGCAATTAATTTTCAACAAGATAGTTTTTTTTGTTTCAACGAGTTAGTTTTAGTCAACAAGTTAGTTTGTAGGATGATTGCTTTGATGTTAATATCGTTTGAGCATATCCCAGTAATGATCATCTAGATCAACATTATTCCATTTATCGATTCAACAATCGCTCTAATTTATAATGATTGCTGTGTGTTTCATGTTTTCTTTCAGAAACAAATGGTATTCGATGCACTAATATGGTTTCTGTTCAACCACTCTTCCCGTCATTCCAGTTCTCATTTCATCCTTAGGTCTTTACGTCTTCTCTCTAACATTATCTCTGTCCCTAAATGCATGTTCGTGAAATTTACTTCAAGTTACTGACAGTGATGTGTCTTTCGAAACTAAATGCATCGCATCGCTGCCACTTAAATATAGCTATTGGTTTCTTGGGTCTTTTGCGTTTACATTTCTTGTGTGTATTTACTCAAGAAATTTTTGTAATTACCTTACAGTATGATTTGAATGCGCGTTCAACATGGGAAGATTTGGGCAACAGACAACCCAACATTTTATCCACAACAAAAGGGCCAATCAAAACAACAATCATGCACATAATATATTGTAAATTATTTCGTCCAAGCTGTGTAAAAGTTCCAAGTTCCCATTTTGAAGTGTCCAGAAACTTTTTCAACCTTTCAGGAGAAGAAAAAACAGGTATAGAGGTTTGAAAGACAACTACAAGTCACTAATTTTGAAGTGCAAAGAACACTAAGAACATTATGATTTTTGATTATATTCAATTTATAATGATTGGCAACACGCCTTTTTATTTGAACTTATATTCAAGCCATATGGCATTGAACCTCTCGAATTATAATAATTTCAAGTGCATCAAATAGAAATTTCTTGACACAAAATATACTGGTACAAAGCGAAATGCTTCACTTCTTCAGGAGTATTGCAATTTCACTTTTGAGTAGAACAATAATTGTCAATATGATTTTTAGTAGGATTTTACTGAATTTATTGTTCTGAAAATTGCAATGAACTTCGGATTAGACAATTTTTACTGCACGTGGCTGCATAGACTGGATAAAGTGGTCCCCTAATTATTATTGTGCACCTGTTGTGAACACTTCAAAGCCGCCAGTCAGATAAAGGAATGAGGGCCAGATTGCGCAAGTCACCCAGACTGGTACATCGCCGTGATGATGCATCCGGCCTTTCCCAGGAACTGTTTTTGGTGGTTCATTTTATCAACAACAAAAAAGTTCATGGCATGAAGTGCTGCTTCAGTTGTAGTGGATAGAAGAGAAAGAATGCTTAGAATTTCAGCGATAATTTTACGCAACAATATTCAAAGAAATTTGAGAGAGTTAGAATGATATGCGACACAGATTCGCAGGTAATCATTTATATCGCATTGCCATCAGAAAATGGGATTACCAGATCAAAGAAACTTGCTGGTTGGTCTGACTTTTCGACACGTATTTTCACAAGAACTAAGAATGATTTGCATAAGTTTCCACATACTCGTAAATCATATTATTACTCGGCTTTCAAGTTAACATTTGACAAATTCAGTTTGAAATAATCTTAACTCGTTGTCCTGCTATGAAATGACTATGTGTGCGTCTCTCAAAGGCAATAAAAATTTACCGCGTAGTTGCTGATGGTAGTGCCACAGACCCGCACACCGTTGTCGTACTGATTTTTGCAGAGAGTACCGCCAGCGACGGCGTAACTCCTGTACTGGTCCAAGATCTTTGCGTAGTTGATGGAGCCACCATAATTCAACTGCAAATAAATGAATGAGTGTTATATTCACATTTGCAAAGGTTGTATCTTCATAATATAATTAAGTAACTAATGAAATTGTTTGAAATAGATATCTCTGATGGAACACTAACTATAGCGTTGGGATAAGATTACGAGCCGTCACGATTAACACCTCAAATAGTGTCAGCTAATATCCAAAAGAGAGTTTATGACAGATGATGAAAAGGCATCTAAGCAATATTTCCTGACTTACGTAACCAAGTTTTCCAGCTACACATTTCATGTAGGGAGCTGCAACTTCTTCGCACTTGCCGCCATTGGCCTCGTTGAACTCGTAGTCCTTGCAGGTAGCTTGGGCTGCAGAACACGTAAATGGCTTCTTATTGTTTTAGAACCTCACGAATTTGTGATGGTTCCACTCACTATTTCAAGATACGTCTCTAGATAACACAATTGAATAAAAATACAATGTCTACAACTGAGTTTTGGAAACAAAAAATATCAATTGGGTGAAATGCCCATAGATTAGCGCAATGGTAGGAAATTTCAGATCAACCGATTGATGGTAATAAATCTTACGATATCTGACCTGCGAGGGCAGTCAAGGCTGCACTTCCCATACGATCCGACTTGCAGGCGTTCAAGGCATCTTTGAGGACTTTATTCTCAAATATGGCTTTCGCCACTGAAGACCCACAGTTTGAACCGCTGTAGAGAAATGAATACGAATAAGTACATCAGACGAGAAACATCAAATGATAAACATTTCCCACTTGAGTCAGGAAAAGAAGTCATATCCATAGCTCTAAATGCAATGATTTAGCAACATTTTCAGCATTAATTTGTTATGGTTGTTTAAATCAGAGCACAAAGCAATATCATCCAATAATTTAGGATACAGGTGAACAGGAGTAGAGAGCACAACGCAAGAATGCTATTGCTGAGTTCACTTACCCTTCAACACCGGAGTAGGCAAAGGCTGCAATGAGAAGAAGGACAAGACCGACAGATTTCATCATGTTGGTAGTCGTTAAGTCGCGGTAAAAGGCTAAGGCAAAATGCGTCGTGAACGAAAGGCTGCTAGATGTCCTGTGACTTGGTACGACACATGGTCTGCCTTTATAGCTTCATGATATTATTGAAACAGTTGGTTTTATTTGTCGATCGTGTGCTTACAGCTGTTTACAGAATAAAACTGTACGAAAGATTTCGGTGTAATGTTGTCAACCTCAGCCTGTTACTAGTGTCAACATGTTAGTTGTTACTTGTTAAGTTGTTCCCAGTTAACACTTACAGGTTTTTTCATATTTCAGTTTGCTTACAGTTATTTTTACACAGTTATTTTTATGTTTCACCTACCCTACATGGATGTCTACTTTAATCTACCAATCTCAAAAATAATCCACATATATATACAAAAAAAGACTGATTTTTATATGTATATGTGGATAATTTTTTAGATTGGTAGATTAAAGTTCACATCCGTGTAGGGAAGGTAAAACATAAAAATAACTGTAACTTTTATTTACTGTATCTAACCCTGGGGTAACCCACACTAGTTCGGTTAGGTTAATTGCAATAAAGTTGCATTGATATGTTTTAAAAATGTTTTATTATCATTAAATGTTAATGAGTAAATCCCCATAGCAGAACAATAAATATTTAGAGATTGCCAATAATTTTGGCAATTGTAGCGGCTAATGTAGCGCGTTACATTTTACTGTAGCGGTAGCGGTAGCGCCGCTACATTTCCAAGTAGCGCTGCCCAGCTCTGACTGTTGGTTAAGGAAATTTAAACTTTCTGGTTGAAAAAATTAAAAATATATAAAAGCAAGTGGATATATAAGCGACGATGACAGAATTATGTTTAAATTTCTAATTTTTTCCATGGAAAATTATTTTTTATAAGAACCTCAACGTGCGTTAGAACAAAAATTTTTTCATCACACGTTGAGGTATATTTGATGAGAAGACCATCTCCTGCTTGCTCAACGTTGATTCATGTGAAGTGGCGAAGCCCTCAAACAGATGCTCCATATTTGCAAAGACGCCAAGACTGATGATGTGAATGATGGCTTTAGATCGCAAATGATCTCAATCTGAGCGTGTTCAGCTGAACTTGCACCTCGGCAAGATCACTCTAAATTGTACGGTGTCAGTGGGTAGTGTCAGCATTAATCTTTATAATTCATGAGCTGCCTCATGGCTCGATTCCACATTACAATATACACTCTAGCATGTGACATTCTGGGTTGCATGCTAGTTACAATCAATGCAATCCATAGGCTGTCAAATATAATCCATGGTGTCAAATATTCAAAACAGATAATCGTTTCGAAGCAAAAGAACTTGAGATTTCAATAAAAATCATAGTATGCAAATATAAAATTAATCATGTGTATTGCAAGGCTCATAATTTATTCAGGCAAAAAGAAACAACAATAATTCCAATTTATACCAAGGTGCGATTCTTCAAACAAATGAGAAACTATCACTTGATATCCCAGCAAGCAATGTCAGGTGGAATCAACGTTGAAACAACAATACTCACGACGTTGAAATAACGTAGAATTTTAGTTTAGAATGAAAAATGAAGCAACGTCATTTTTTCAATGTCTTTCATTTCGACGTTGTTTCAACGTTAAAATCGCGTTGACATCTGATGGTAAAATCGCGAATATATATATATATATACTGTATATATGCGATTTTAAGTCACAATTTTACGCGATTTCAACCTTGAAACAACGTCGAAATGTACGACGTTGAAAAAATGGTGTTGCTTCAGTTTTCAGTCTAAACAAATATTCAACGCTTCTTCAACGTCATGAGTTTTATTGTTTCGACGCTGATTCAACCCAACATTGCCTGAAGACCTACAACAATACAACAAGTGTAACGGAGCCAAAGCAAAACCTTATAGTTCCCTAACAAAATTTGGTGTATGCTTCAGCCTCCGTTGCAGACTCGCCATAGTTGGGTTAGAGTTATTCTGGGTCTGCTTGGTCACCCGATCGTATTCAGCGACTAGTTAGAATCACCTTGCCGACTTTAGAGTCTCCTGAGAGAACGGCAAGAGTTTGCTTGGCCAGGCTTACCGCTCCTGTAAGCTGCCCAGAGATTGCATTCAAGCCTCGAGCGGCAGGCAGTGGGCAGAAGCCTCCCGGATGTTATACATACATATTCATTGATTTAAACTTTTCAGGTCGAAAAATTATCCAGATGGCGCTGGTTGATCTAAATGCAGGTTTCAGGAAGAAATTTTAACTTAATTAATTCGAATACTTTTTTCGAATATGACAAAATTCATTTTCGAGTTATAGGAAGCATTGAACACTGACATTTTGAAAGAAATGAGTACGGTATATTATGAATTCCCGAGGAATTCATTCCGGGAGTTCAACCGCACGTCAATCAAAGAGGACTACATTGGTGTAATTACTACGACATTTAGCAGCCGTCTATCCTGCCACATGAGACAAGCTCGCGACCAGACAAAGTATTACAATCGAGCAACTTCCTCTCAAGATCCGCGATGAATTCAATTGGCTCAGTGACACCCTCGACAACAACGTCAAACTCAACGAGTCTGTCACTCCCACTGTGCCGGAGGAACCCAACAGCGTCATCTTCATAGAGTGGCCGACATCATCGGAACGACGATAGTTGAAGCTCTCACCTCTGCATTGGATTCTAGCTATCCATCTCATTACTAGCGGATTTCCTAAGCTTTGAGGTTTTTTCGGAGGTATTTTAACGTTTCCGAATTTTCGTGTTGCACCATATTTACTTTTTTGCTGGGACCCTTGTTGCGTGTGGTTTGAGGTTGCGTTTTGGTGACACCCAAGTTTTGGTTGCGTTTGGTGACGACGTTGTTGTAAAAGGTGTCACGAAGCCTGTTGAATTCACCGACGATTTTGAGATGAATTAGCTTGTTGATAATGCTATGAGACTTGGTCTGGTTGTGAGCTTGTCTCGATTGGTTGACGAAGTGGCTGTTCAATGTCACAGTTGTTACTCCAATAATCAGCCCAAACGTGGAAGATCAATTCCAAGCTGCAGCTACCGAAAAACAAGGTTCATCGACATCAGCAGCAGTCATAACTCCGGTTCTACGTCAAACAGCTAAACAACTCAGAGACAGCGACCAAATTGTTATACGGGAAGCAGATAAAAGCAATATTTTCGTAATTATGGATAAAACGGATTATCTCTCAGAAAAATTAATGCAATTATATCGGACGAGTCCAAATTCAGTCACGTCGTGAGAGACCCAACAGAACAACTTCAGAGGAGAGCAAATAAATTAATCAAGATAGCGAATTCTTCAATTGGACCTAAAAAAAAACTCACCCCGATTGTTGGGAGCTATTCTCCGGGTTACCTCTACGGATTTTAAAGAACTGGGCGCGATAATTAAACCATATATTCTAAATAAATATTCTCTGAAATCTAGATATGACTTCTTGGAAATTCTTGCGTCGCACCCTTCTGGTCTGCCATAGCTTTACTGGATGTCAGTAGTTTGTTCACTAATGCACCAACTGAAGAAACATTAGAAATTATCATGAAGCATGTACAGTATATTCGCACGAAGCCCTGCCGGCCCCACCAAATCAAATAAGATCCTTGCTTACCTTCTTCGCCTCTGTACTTTGGTATCTCCCTTCCGGACTCCTGATAAAAAAATTTGGGTCCAACTTTTGCTGAATTCAATATATGTGTGAACTGGAAAATCAAGCGTTACTCAATGTACAGATCAAACCTGAGCTTTACTGCAGATATGTAAGTGACATTTTCGTCGTCATTCAGAAGATGAGCACTTGACGGAACTTCGCCGAGATTAGAAATATGATTCAGTCTTGAAGTTTACCCATGAAATTGGACAAAATCAAAAATTGCCATTTCTAGATATATTAGTGCGAATTGAAGATAATTCCTTTGTCACTAATGTTTATCGAAAACCTACCGATGTCGGAAAAATGCTAAACGAAGAAAGTTAATGCCCTCAGCGCTATAAAACCAGCGCAGTGCGCGCTCTCATCCAAAGAGCATTCAAGACCTGCACATCCGAGAGTGATTTGAAAACTGAACTCAGAACTTGCAAACAAAACCTAGTGAATAATGGGTTTTCAAATAGAACTGTTGACACAAAAATATCAAATTGATTGAGAAAAAACAATGAAGGAATATCTATTTATAGAACGTCACAACAATCTTCCACCAAACCAGATGAACATACGCTACAAAGTAGATGAACAAGTCCTACAGCTAATCATCCATAATAATATCATGAGCGCAGCGGATAACGAAAAAATACAACTTCTAATCTACTACAAAAATAGGAAAATTAAAAACTTGTCATGAATAAGAATCCCTTTAAAGAATGTTGACTGTTTCGAGAAACTAATGTTGTTTATAAATTCATTTGATCATCAACAGTTTTTCTACATTGTCTTAATCATTTTGAAAAATACAGAAATATCATCAATGCGGTAACGAATGAACGACACTTACATGATAATATATCATTTAAAGTTTTATTTTTTGGTAGTATATCTTTCTTGTTGCGTGTAATGATTGCTTAACCGAGCTGTGGTATTTGGTGCACTTCAACACAAGCCAGATGAGACAAATTTTTATGAGCTTATACCCTCTGCCGGATCGGATCAATGTTGAAATTTGAAAAGTGAAAAAAGTGAATGTGAGTGCGTATACTTACATTTCGTATCTATATTATACAAACCATGAATTAGCGCCACCCGTCTTATAAGAGCCGGCAACGATGAAAACGACATTTACAAGCTGACGCCACGGTTGCGGCAGATTATTGGCATGCGTTACACCGATTATTTCAAGTTCTACTATCATTAGTCGGCTTAAATCCTACGTTGACCAAGAATTTAACGCTAAAGGCCGGTCCACACGCTCAGTTTTACACAACGATTTATCTGCGCAGTTTTGCAGTCTTAAGTCGGAATGAAATCGTTGCAATTTCAAGCGCGTCCACACGGTGCCGACTTATCTGTGTAGTTTGCTCAGTTTTGCGCGATCTCGCCATGGAGGAGAGTTTATTTCGGTCAACTTTGTCACTGTGCCTTGTAAAAAAAAG